TTATAAAAAATTACATATAAATTAAGATTTTTTAATGAAAAATTAAGATAAACTATAACAAAAACCTGTAATTTATGAGGGTGAAACCGTAATTTTGAAGTTATGGACTTTTAACATTTACTTATTTTGTCCCAAAATAATTACCACTTTCTAATTTTAAATTTGTCTTAAATTAGTTATTATTTTTATTTATTAAAATAGATAAATATTTTTCTATTTTAATTTTCTCATTATCTATTTATTTTGATAAATTATTTTATCACAAAAAATGTTATTTTATTTTTTAATCTTTCTAAAAAATAATATAAATAAATATATAAACAATCTTAACTCAAATTTTTAATTAAAAAAAAAACAAAATAAAAGTTATTATGGAGTGGGAGGGAGTAAATTTTTAATCATTTAATCTTACATTTCATTGATGTATAACTCTTACTTATGTTGGTAAAAAAATGCAACTTTACAGAATGGTCCATTCTGACCAAGTGACATTAGATTTTGGGTTAGAACTGTTCACCTCTGTGGATAGCATGTTTGAACCCCATGAAACTCATTTCCTCCCTCCCTCGTATATACCTATAAATAATGCTAAAATTGTTTAAAGAAAAAAAAAAAAAACGCAACCTTACAATTCCATTGTGGGCCAATGTGCATTACCTATTTAAAAAAAAAAAAAAAAATTGTAGGCCAATGTGTGAGAACAAGGCAGGAGAGTAGGCAGCAAATACTCTTTTTGAAAATAGGTAATGGAGGCAGTAAATACTCTATGAAGCCTAAAGCCATGGCAATAGGTGTGGGATCATTATGTCTGTGGTCAAAACGCATTCGTGCACAAAAGCAAAGGGTTACAATATAGAGTTTTGGACCTTTGGGGTGTTGAAAAGCAAGCAAGAATTGCCTATTGTATAGACCATTTGACATGCGCATCCCCTTCCCTATAAAGAGGTTGTTCATTTGTCTTAAGCCCCTGGATAATCGTCAAAAACAAATCATTATCTATCTTATCGTTTTGCCAATTTTAATCATATTCACGCAAGTTTGTTTAATACTATTAACATTTATTTGTTTTTGAGATTAATTAAAGTCCATTTTTTGCTCATTTGTCTTCAAGTCCATTTAGAGATGCTTTGCATTATTTGAAAAGACCATCCTTTTCA